CGGTGCATACTGTCTCCTTCATTATGGAAAATATGGAACAGTTTATTTAACCTCTATACGTGACCAGGTTTAACTGAGTTGCATATCACCAGCCATTGTATTATTTTAAAATTTCAAATCCATGGTAACTCAGCTGATCGCCTTAGGTGTCTAAAATGAAGGTAATATCCATGAGGAATTGTCTGGCATGTCATTTCTTTTCTGGTCTATGTTCAAACTGTGCTAATAATTAAACTAGACTGTGAGGACATAACTGCTCTGCCGCCTGGTCGCTTTCTCATTAAGTCACACATCACCCTGAATCCAATGTTACTTTGAGGGCTTTGTAATACTGGCTTGTACTCAAGATTGATAGAGTTAAGGGGCTCTGCAGTAAATAACAGGCAGTATTGTAGAACCCTGTGTTACAGCGAATATCAACACTGGTTTTTATATCTATTATTTCCTTTAGGTGCCAAAGCTCTGTGTTACATTATTTCAAGCTTCACAGACTAATCAAAACCATATTGCTACGATGATAATTCAAGATAAAAAAAAGGGGGGAAATTAGCTTTGATATGCTAGGTTAATCAAAACACAGGATACATTAATGATTCATGGAATACTGCGGGTAAGCACCTTATGCAAATATAATGCCTTAAAGTAAGTCAAACTGATACCAAAAATGTGTCCAAAACAAACTGACTCATCTGTGCGGATAGAGCGGACAGGTGGAAGAGGTTACTGTTAATAAAGATTATGTAATTCAAAGTTTTGAGATAGAAGTCCTGGAATCCACTGGCTCCTGCTTTCACCTCCTGCCTTTCCTGTAATTGAACCCATGAGTGCTCTGCTGACAGCTTGGCCCCGGTGGTCACTGTTTGATTACAAAACGTTTTTCCAGTGTATTTAGGGACACAAAAGCCGTCTGTGAGCATATTCTTACTCAAACACTTTGTTTAGTCAGCTCTCACTTATCAAAGATGGATGACTGTTGTAATTAGCACAGCAGGGTGTCCAACTTGTCTTAAAGGCCAAGGGGGGAAAAAATCAATGAAATGTGTGGACTTCCCGAGGAAGTCCTATAAAGAAGGGGGCTTTGGTTAAAGTTTAGTGAATACCTCTAATGTTAAGAGGAGCCATGCATTCTTCACACAGAGCCTGGTGAGACATGGCTAAAGGGTAAATGGCGTTTAGAGAAGCTGTTTTGAAGGGAAAAACAGCGTGATGCTCAACGTATAAAACAGCATCCAGCTGGACTTTCGTGTACTAGCAGTGTGACATATTCCAGGGCCAGAGGAAAGTGAAGCCGCTGGGATGCATTGCTGGAGAGTGAGATGTGACTCACAGAGCAGTTAGGGCAATGAGAAAGTCCAGGAAGGCAAATGATCCACATTTTTCCAAAAGAGGCTGACGCACATCAATGGCTTAAGGTTAAGATTTAAAGAAAGGTCAATAGGCACTATGCATCATCAGACATTACATTACTGAACAGTTAAGTATGTCAGTATTATTCAGACAGGAGCTAAGGTGAAAATGTTTAAAATAGAGCAAACACTCAGATTCCTTTAAATGTAAAACCAGTAAACTTTATGCTGTCTTTAGTCTTTAAGTTGGCAGCAGAGTTGGAAATTGTCTCAATTATATTTAACATATCACAGCAAAGATACTTATCTTAACTAAATTATCTTTAAATAGTTTGTTAGCTATAATCTCTAGACTTTAAAATATAATGGAAAGGTAAGACTGAACATCCAGGATAACATTATGCACTAACTGAATTACACTGCATGTTACAATCGAAAGGAGGTACATGTGCTGTATAAATATTGGGCCTAACCATAACATTATGAAAAGTTGTTATTATTAGTTTTTGACAAATGTGAGAAATTGAGAAGAGGATCATGTTTAGGATCGATTCAAAGTTCAGGGACTGTCTGGCAATTAAAACACTGGAGCAAACTGTATTTGAAGGTAGTCTATTATGTTTGTATAAATACGACAAATGGCTTATTACTCCCATATGAGTCTTAAAATCAAACAAATACAGGAAACTAAAAGCACATGTCAACATTTATTTAAAAAAAACACGCAATGAGTAAAGGGGAAGCTGCAAAGCAATGACCAGTTGTAAAAAGTGGCCAGCAACATTCAAAGAGCAAAATGCCCAGGGAAAGGAAGAGCTTTACACATCCAAATATTTCACTTTGATCAATCACATCAAAAGCAATAACAGACCGTTTCGTAATATTTTGGAATTTAAGGAAAGTCATACTTTTTATTTGTACTCTGAACTGCAGTTCCCATAATACAAAGATGATGCTAAGCAGAACGATCTAAACTGTTTCCTTATAAGTTCGCCGGACCAAGTGAGGAAAACTGAGAGATGCCTGCCAAACATTTGGCAGGAGGGACACCAAAAGCCTGAGGTTTAAAATAAACAAGGCCTCTCTGGTGATACGAGATTATGCTGTAAGATGGTAGACGAGGGTAAAAGTGTCAAGTTTTATTTTTGCTCCACAGTAGTCATATTCCATCAACCCTATCGGGCCTCAGCTCCCTGCTTCGTGCTACCATGGGTTACATAAATTCATATAACTGAATAATATCACTAACTGACTGACTTTAAAGTGATTTAGTAATGCCTTTTTATAAACCCAGGGAAATTATAGGAGACAGATTTTAAAAAAGAACATTCTGAAACAGTCTCACTTATAATTTTTTTGTTTTAGTCCCAGCAGGAATGTGTATCACAGTGAAATGTGAGGAGTAAAAAAAATTCAAGGCTGCCGACTTTCACTCACTGACCGTGAGACTCACACAATTGACATGTCCATTTTCTCACACATTAAAAACATTTTTACCTGATGATAACGGCTGATGTCTGGAGGTTGACAAGTATGCTGATCAATCATATTTATTCATCATCAAATTTATTATTGACATGATGATTATGACACAGACACCCGCAGCGGTAATATTTAACAGTTATAGACTAATTAGGCCTAAATACAACAATATATTTTTATTATTTAAAAGTTCAGCCCCTACACTGTTTGCTTGGAAAAATTCTGGCCCTTAGACAAAAGCAGTTGACCCGTGGTGTATCGCATCATGAATGTGCACATACATGAGAATATAAATGTATATATATATATATATATATATATATATATATATATATATATATATATATATATATATATGTCTTTAATGACTTAGAGAATTTCAGGTTGTGGGTTAATACATCTACTGTACTTCACTGTGCATTGTCTACATTATTTATTGTCTGAATGTGCAAATGCCTCCATCCCTGCCTTTTCCAGAGAGTTCATTCCTGTCCATGTGGAGAAGGGAAAACCTATAAAGTTCAAGTAAAAACTGACAGGAATGTCCTGGTTCAGCCATGTCTCAGTTAGTCTTATGCACAACTCCCTGTATTTACAGCATACTCTGGCATTTCTTTTGCAGGGTAATGATCACACATGGCTCAGTATCATAGCAGTCATGCATGATCTGTTGTCTCAATGGCCAGTGCATACTCTGACACTGCCCTAAACCCCACAACCAGCCCTTTGGTCTAATCTCCAAAAGCATCTCCACTAAGTTGGCAGGGATGGCAGCCCCTTGGGGAAGTTGGGATAAGATAAAAATTCCACTGAATGGAGATTCAAGAAAGCCTCTCTGATGTCTGACATTGCAACGGTATTATTTTCACGCCCAGCCAGTGATTGGTGTGTTCGAAATTGACCCAAAAGCAAGAATTTTGCAAACAGTCATTTAGCACACAAACATACCACATTCAGCAGTAGATAGTAAATAGTGGTTCAAACCACCAGCAAACATTCCAAGGACACCACTTCCACAAGCAGCCTTCTTTGTACCAGTGAAAAACAATTATTGATTAATCCTCTTAATCTTTTCAGCTGTAGTAGAGCTACATTAAAAAGGGAATATTAAGGAGTACACTTGGCTGATTACAGTACAGTATGTACTTAGTGTTTCTGTGAAATCATTCTTCAGTGGTAACACAACATGCAAATGTCAGTGTTGTTTGTGCTATGACACAGACGAGAAAATGCAGCCAGCCGATTCCTTCTGTTGTTCATAAAAGTCACAAGAACGTCACTTCATTCCGTTGCTCTCTGGGCTAAAAGAAACAGTAGGCTATACCATTTTAGCCACTTAAAAAAAATGCAGTGCACGTGTGATGGCAAAATACACATGTAGAGAGCATATTCAGACTTTCCCTGCCTGCTCCTGAACAAATTCTTTCCGCTTAATGGAAACTGCATTTTAGTCTAATTTTATCCTGAAGGTTTCACTAAGCCTTTCTCCCTCGATCAACATCTTTTTGAAATTTGATGCTGAAAGGCTTTGCAGAAAACATGCCTGCCTCAACATCTGCCAAAAAGGGGTAGCATCAATAGAACACTTAACCTACAATTAAGAGTACTTAGTGACTTCACACATCTCGTGGCATGCAAAGACCAAAATTACTGAAGGAATAGTCAGCCCCAAGGATATAGTAAAATCTGTCATTAACAGGGTAACTGAAGTGTGAAGACACGGTAGGAAATTACATGCAACTGCTCTAAAACCCTAAAACAGGTATTCAAATGTTTTAACAATGTTTCTGAATAGCTAAGTAATTTTAAAGGATAGACATATTAACTGTTCAAGAGTTCATTTTTCATAACAAGAGGCAAATAAATGAAAGTGCAATTAGTTCAGACAGTAGCCTTTGTTTTGTTTCCTCAGCTCCTGATGTAGCTCTTCCAGTCAGAGGCAAAAAAACCATTACAGCCCAGAAACCTTCAACACCTGACAAAGAGAGGAGAAACGTGGGCTAAACCTCTGTGGAATGAGTGAAAGTAAGATGAGGGGAGAGGCAGAGGGGGCAGGGGGAGGACTGATGGGAAAGGTCCTCCACCCTGAAGGTTGGAAAGGGTCAGCACGGTGAATGGTGCGCACCAGGAGAGAGGGGGAGGACCCACATGCAAAATATTTAAGATGTTCAGGCAGAGGAGGGCTTCACCGAGGAAATAAGACAGAGCCTGGGTGAGCCGTTGGTCAAAGAAGAGCTCCAACTCAACTGGTCTGCTTGATATTTCCAGCAGACTCATTCTACGGGGACTGACTGCCTCTGAACAACGAAAGAAATCTAAAACACCTGTGACAGAAAATGGTAAAAGTTAATTTGAGCGTATTGGCTTTGGGGGTCACACTGCTCCTGTTGGCAGAGACATGGGCCCAGAATCCCAGGAAGAGACTGGCACCTCCAAAGCCTAACAAGGCTCAGTGCTGCGATGAGGTGCGCTCTCTCAAGGTTCAGGTGGCCAATCTGACCAGTCTCCTTGAGGAGCTGAGTCGCAAGCAGGACACAGAGCTGATGAACGTCTTGAGGCAATTAATGGAGCTGGACAAGCAGAACCGGCAGCAAGAAGCCCGGGTCACAGAGGCTGAGAGCAAGTACTCAGAGATCAACAACCGCGTGGAGATCATGCAGCTACAGACCCTACAGTCTGCTACTCAGACCTCATCAGGTGAGCATCAAGACTTGGAAGAATCTCTTAACAGTATGGAAAATTAAATGACATACTGGCCAAAACTGTATGTGCTGCTGATCAGAGGCATAACTTCTAAATGATTTAGTTTAATGAATTAAAATGTTCATACAGGGAAAACTCGAGTGCATGTGTGAGCTACATGCCTCATTCTCTCTCTAACCTGGTGGTCCTGGTGTTGTAAATTATTTCCACATACTGCATGGGCACAGATTTTAGATATGACTGAACTTTAAATGTACTGTTTGTCTACCAACCTTTGCAGCCTGACTAAATTTAGCTTTGAATAAAACATTTTGTGAAGTTTAGTTTGAATACATTACAAGGCATTCTTTTCATTAAGGAGAGTACTCATTTTTGAATTGTTCAGAAAAACTCTAGCAAATAAGCTGACAAACATGTAAGCCATAATTTCATTGGAATGTGAGTACCTACATTATCTCACAGATCTCAAGTAGGCCAGCTACACACACGACACTATATATTTATTTTAGCTGTGAAAAACTATAATCAGCTTTGTCCATTGCTTCATAGGTCTCAGAAAACTACTGTGAATTGGTTGTGAGGTAGATTGCAGTGCACACACTTACTGGAGTTGCCCGACTGCAGCCAAAAGCATTAATTTGGAGCTGGAGTTCAGTCCCATCAGCAGGGCTGTCAATACAGAGCTCCATCAAAGCCAAATCATCTCTGACATTCATCTCAACTTTAACACACCACTAATCAGCACTGGCTGCTGCAGAGAGGTTAACCAGGCATGACGTAGTTTATTATTTCAATACCTTAACTGTGTGGTCTAACAGGGCCACATTTATGTCACTGGCAAAGGGAACACAGAGCCCTTTTCAACTGCAGTAAATTAGAGACAGGAGAGCAGAACAGGAAGGGATGCAAAGATTAGATGAAGTGGAAGGTTTCCATCTCTTTTTCTTTTACACAGACGTTTTAAAGTATTGGGTTCATTTCTACATAGTGATCTCATAGCCCTATTAATGGCATCACCATACTGTGAAGGGTAAAAGAGAACTACTATGCAAAAATCACAGCCATGCTGTGCATATTCCCCTGTTTTGATCTATTTTGCTTTTGGCAGGGGTAAAGGTCATTTTTTTCATCTGTCCAATCACTCAAATATCCATAGAACTGTTAGAATTTATGACATTCCCATTTTTAATGACTGCTCATGAGGCTGCATATGGTCTTGTCATAACTGAAGATTTGTTTTTTTTTCCAGATGCCATATATGACTGTGCATCCCTCTACAGCAAGAACTACAGGATCTCTGGCGAGTACAAACTGCCTAAAGATGACTTTCTGGGTACACCTGAGCTGAACGTAAGTTATACTTGAGTCTTGTGTGTAGCATGTCTTTGTGTACTTTTTGGTAGAGCCCAAGGAGGTCTCCCTCTTCTCTCTGCAGGCTATTATATTTTTGTAAATACTTTCAGGTCTTCTGCGATATGGAGACAAATGGAGGTGGTTGGACTCTGATCCAAAGGCGCAAGATCGGCCTGACATCATTCAACCGTGACTGGAAGCAGTACAAAAGTGGATTTGGATCCATCCGCGGAGACTTCTGGCTAGGCAATGACCACATCTTCCGTATAACAAGGCAGCCCAGTATGCTCAGGATTGAGATGGAGGTACGTGTTGGAAAACATGGCACTCGTGTAAGCTTGTGCTGAGACACTGAAGAGCAAGAATACGTAACCACGCATAAACCATTTCATAGCCAAAAGTAAGAGGGCATAAACACAGAGCCTATTCTATTCCTTCGGGTACTGTGCGTAAGAAAATTTATAATAAATCAAACTAACTTTTAGAGACGTAAGGCAGACCACAAGAGCCAGTATTCCCAGATTCTTAAACTGGCCCTCTCTTAATCATGTTATATGCGTTTTCCAATGCAGGACTGGGAAGGACAGACACGCTATGCAGAGTATGGCTTTTTCACTGTGGGTAATGAGCTTAACAGCTACAAGCTCTTCCTTGCCAACTACAGTGGGAACGCTGGAGACTCCCTGCGCTACCACAACAACACCAACTTCAGCACCATCGACAAAGACAATGACAAATGTGTGGATGACTGTGCTTCTCGGCGCAAAGGTAAATTATGAGAGCAAACCCACTCAGAACAATCCATGAGGTCATACACAGTAGATGTTACAAGTACATATTTCCCTCCAATTAACACTAAGTCTAATTCTCTCCCTCGCCTCTTTCCAGGTGGTTACTGGTACAACTGCTGCACTGACTCAAACTTGAATGGTGTTTTTTACCGCTATGGTGAGCACACAAAGAGCTCAGATGGGATCACTTGGTACGGCTGGCACGGGTCCAACTACTCCCTCAAGAAAGTGGAGATGAAGGTCCGGCCAGCAGGTTTTCAACCATAAGTGCTTCGGCTGCGGGTCCTGGATCAAGATCATACGCATGAATGCTGAGAGATCTCACTAATACCTGTTCAACCAAATTGTGGCTTTCCCTGGACTGCGAAAGGAATGAAAATGTTGTTTGTGATGGTCTGGTTAAATTTCAGTCAGATGAATGTGTAATGTTTTTGCCGTGTTTGATTGTAAATTGTAGTTCATTTTGTGTATTTATCAGTAAAATATTTTATTTTTAAAACGCTTTGATAGATGCTCTTTTACCACTGTCCCATATGGGTTACTGCATTTTGACTCCTTATCTCATTTGTCTTGAAAGCACTAGGATGTACTTTTTAGTTAACACAAGCCATTTATGGGTAGTAGCAAGAATCAGCCCAGACTGGTCTGGTTCAGGTATAAATCAACAAGGACTAGTAGGAACTAATTAAAAAGGATCTTTGTGAGTTGCTGGAATGGGACCAACCACCCAAGGTACTTCGTATAAATTACGCTGCATTTTATTGTAAAACCCTAACCATTGATTATGGAAAAGTGTTATTTGTAAAATGTGTACAGCTCTGTAATTATGTTGTTTTATGTGATAGAAAATAAACATATTTTTTAAAAGAAAAGGGCGTATAACATGTCTCAAACAGATTCTATGTTCTTTTCACTTCACTGGCTAAACAGCACAGTTGTAGTGGGACAAACTCAGCGGAGGTCTAAAAGCAAATCAAGGTCTTGTGTCCATTCATGTCCAATAATGGCAACATATTTGCCTTGAGCCACCGACCTCTGACTCTCGGGTCATCTCCTGACATTCTGGCCAAAGGTCCCTGGGCACTTAAACCAAATGGAGGAATGAAGACCACACACACATTCCGCCATCAAGTTAAATGCCTCTAGGTTTACTGCCTTGAAAACAATGACACCATTTTGCTAAGCTTCAAACACCACAAAGAATTCCTTAGAGCATTCAAATACCTACAGACAGGCTCAGCGGTAGGCTTAGTCAGATTGTCTTCCTTTTACAAGGTGACAGATTCATTCAGGGTAAACATCTAATTAAAGCTGGACCTTGAGAAGAAATGTCCACAGCAGGTTAAAGGGCACTTAAAAACAACCTCTGGATGGTGACACATGACCTGGTCTTTCTATTCTAAGGTTTAAAAGTATTCAAACTTGTGTCCCCGACAACAAAAGCAGACATTGAACAATGATGGACGGTGTAAGTTAAACTGTAAGAGGTCAGTTACTGTTGGCGTAAACCTTTATGTCCTGCAGAGGATACAACACACCTCTAATGGCTAGTTTCATTTAGGAAACCCAACTGCTGCAAATAGAATTCATAGTTATTTTCAAGTCAAAGTCGTGAATATGGCTGCCAAAAGTTATAGTTATTATTTAAGATTATTTGTAATTTATTTATTAATATTAAAATATAGTCTGAATGTGACTTGACCACTGGGCTCCTTCAGCAGGTATTAAACCCAAAGAATCACAGAAACTATTGTGTGGAAATGCATTTCATCATCAAAAAGGGTATCAACATATTCAGCAGGCTTTATGTAAAAGGAGACTCTTAAACATCGTCACCCTGTGTTATAGTAAATTGCAATGCAATCCACAATAACAACTCTGCAATAAATGCTACCTTCTTGACAGTGTGATGTTGTAGTGAATTAGATTTTTAGGTTTTCCTGCTATTTATATTTACATAAACATATTATTACTATGATATGGTAAAACATTTTACTATAGGTGTTCTGTCTGTTATTATTTTTAGGTGAAATCCAAACCTCTGGCAACAGTAATAAACTAAAGTGTAACAAATAAACACATTGCAGGGCTACTGGATTGGGCAATTGTACAAGTGCCCGTTATTGTGTCCATCCCTTTTTACTCACACATAAAGTACATTTGAGCAGTTGAGAGGTAAAACAAAAAACACGCACAAAAGCCACTCTGGATGGCTAGCATAACATGAGATTTTGCTTAACAGTTTGCAGCCCTCTATACATCTGAACATACTAAACTTTATTTAAAATTCCATTTCCAACCATTTCCATGGTGCCCGGTAACATTATGGCTAGACATTTACTATTAACACATGGTCCAGATGCAATAATGCCCTGCTCCAGTCGCTACAGTGGTGATGGAACCACAAAAAACCTTAGTACATAGAGCGCCAGCTCTACCAGGTGAGCCATCAGGGTCCCCCAAATTTATTCACTCAATAAAACAAGAGACAAATTACTAAACCAAGTCCATCTAAAAGATACTGTATGGTGTACCAATTACACCATAGGCCAAATGCCCAATTAACAGCGTTCCTGTTATTGGGAATAATGGGGAAAATGTGACCAATTTCCTGGTTCTATCCAAAGCTATAAGACCTAAGAAATATAGTCAGACCACAAACTAATTCTTTTGATTTTCTTAAAATCCCTCACACATTATTCATACCAGGTTCAACACATAAGATTTATACTATTATGAGTCACTTCTTCAGATTCAATACCCTGAATAATAACTGATGATCCACATGAGAGAATGCAAAGAAGAATTCCTGTAATAACTGCAGACTCATAGACAAACATGACTCATCAGGCATTAAAAAAAAATCAGTGACGATGCCTCCTCGTCATCAAAATGTGCATCAGATATGCATGCTTTTTTTTTTTTTTTTTTTTTTTAAATACAGCAGTATCAGTAGAGCCAGGTTTACGTAGTGCTTTTTGCACACCAGCCTCTAGATCTTTTATGGGAAATCCTGGAGAGGTGAGAACCAGATGGGGATATTGAAAACACCAGAGTGCCGGCTCCCATCATTCATCATCATCAAGGCTCCTGAGAAATTGAAAACAGGCCCCGAGAAACACAAGTCCAGACACTCGTAGATGAAAAGGAGGCAAGCGTCCAATTAGATGCCTGGAAAACAGATTTCTCCATACCATGCCAAAGGCACAGAAATAAAAAAGGATGAGAAAAAAGGATGGAAAAGATGACAGAAGATATCAAAGGGTTATGGGACAGGAGGATATGTGTAGTATAATTTCTTTATGTATTTATTAGATTAAAAATTGACTCTGAGAGAATAGCTTAATGTTTGTCTTTAAGCCATAACGTATAAAGCAATAACTGTGAATCAAAGAGGCACCTGTCAAACCTAGTTTTTGTGACGAGGATGAATCTACACCAGCAGGAAGATAAAAAAATAGGAAAATATGCAATTGCTTACCTCCCACTGACACTGAATTATGTCATGATCTCAAAGTTACCAAGAAATTATTTGTCATAAGAATGAATATTAATGTATGAAGCTACATAGTTCTATGAATCTACAATAACAACTTAAATTACAAAACAGTCAACCGTTCAACTTTTCAAAGTTTATATAGACCGGGGTTGTTTCTAATAAAAAAAAGATTTGTTTGTGTGGTTTTCAGACCTCCTACCTGATAAGAGACTCCAGGATGAGAGGAGAAGGACCTTTCTGAAACTCCAGCTCTTTGTAATGCAGAGCTTTGGCGTAGGCACGACACTTGGCAGCTCTCTCTCCAAGCAGCACAATGCCATTATCATCTCTGAGGGGCAGAGGACCCTGGAAAAGGAAACAAATTGTATGAAATACAAGTAAGTTTTTCCTAAATAAAATGAAACTTGAATTAATAGTTGTCCTCTATCGGTGTAACTAGCGGTATTTAACGTACACTATAACTCTGAATGAACTGTGAATGACTGGATCAGCTGATGTAACATTTAAATGATTTGCATTAATATGCCTTTGTAAGTGATTTAACCTGCAAAATTCTGGTAACCTAAGAGAAAACCCCTTATGCCCTTCTTTCCACTGACTGAAAATTGTACACTTCTGTTTATGCTGCAGCCTCACAGCAGGGGGGAGACCCTGCTGAAATACTATATTACGACCCAACCATAACGCTCTCTGCCCTCAACGTAACAGTATCGTCACTAATTATCTCAACATGTGTGGCCAAACAGTAGACGACAGAGAAATTACTGTACTGAAAGGTGTCCTCTTTTAACATTTTCATAGTCTTGCAACACCTAAGGTATTGCTGTGATTATCTCCTAGGTTACTGTTATCTTCTGGCTGCTATTATACTGATAGCAGCCAGAATGTTTTCTAATCAGCTCTGTTGTTGTAACCTTTAATTAACAGTATAAAAAGTATAGTGTATATAAAATTTGGGCACCTACATCAGAACATTCATTTAAACAACACCTTTCACTGTGCCATTTCAACTACACTATGGCCACATCACACAGAGTAATGTAGGTATCCCAGCTGTAGTTAATTGTGGCACTGGCAACTCCACAAAATATAATAACAACTTTATTTATATAACACTTTTAGAAACAAGAACAGAACAATATGGCAAATGAGGAGAGTTGGGTGGTTCCTCCTGTTTTTGCACTGCAATAGACTGGTAAATTTACTGAATACCTCTACGTTCTCTGCTTTGCGTCTATTTCACCATTTGACTGTTCTGGCAGATGCATAAACAACTCACTCTGAAGGTAAGTTGATGACAAGGAAGACATAAAATTAACTGAGCCAAGTAAACCAGCATTGTTGTTTCCTCAAAGAAAACATTAAAACAGATGATGTTTAAGTGCTGCTGCTTTGCCAGCTGGAGACCCATGTAAGTACGGCCTATTTTCAACTGGTATTTTAACATCATTCATTCATAATGTACTGCATGTAATGTCATGCATATCCAATGGGCATGTACTTTTTGTTCCACAAAAGAGCTGGACAGTAGAAAAGTCATAGTTGAGTCATTGGTAGTAATGAATGAATAACATCTAACCCTTGCAGATTCATGGGCCATTTGAAATTATATTCCATAAGGCAGGAAAGGACTTATCCATCACCCCTTTGAAATGCACTACCTAATATCAAAAACATGAATTAAGAAAATGCAACTTAATATATAGCCCCCTAATAAAACATGACATGTGCAATCCTTCAGTCTAAATTGTATCATATTGATTCTGTGGTGTAGATGCTGCAGTTCAATGCCAACCTTGTCACTGTGCTCCATGAACTCTGCCAGGTTGAGCAGAGTCTGCGTGACCTCAGCAATGTCCTGGGAGGTTAGAGCTAACTCAATGCTGCGGATGAGCTCATCCTGCTGGTCCTCACTCAGCTCAGACCAACAAGACAGGAAGGCAGCGTTGAACAGGTCCCTGTGGACACAGAAACAACATTTACACATTATAACAACAATGACAACAATAGAATTTGGATATTTTGCAGAAGCAGGGTTTAGCTGAATTGAGAAGCAAATCAATGAGTAGCAAGATTATTCTATAGCTGCTTTTCTATAACAAGTGCAATGTTGTTTCATAGCTTTGATCACAGAGCATTTTAGTATTTTTCTGTAACAATCTGCTTCGCATTTACAGTTACACGCATTCACATCTGGAAACTAGTAGCTAGTGCAACCAGTCTTCTAGTGCTGGTAACGGCTGTGGTTCCGCAACAACAGCTGATGTCTCACTGCATTAAAACCCCTCAGCTCTCCAAACACAAAACAAGATTTTTCCATTGGCACTTTTGGCAGCACCGACTAAAACCATGCCGGGCTAGTTTGCATTTCCA